TTGCACAGGTTTGGAGTCCTTGCAGCTTCTTTGCTGCTTAAATCTTAGTAACAATAAAATTTGCAGTTTTTCTGCTCTAGAGCCTTTGAGACTGCTGAAGTCATTAAAAGTGTTAGATATCTCACACAATGAAATTGGAGCACATCCTATTGACACAAGAAGATATTTGTGTGCGTCTCCACTGTCCCATGCAAGTGATTGGAAGAGAGAGGAATTTGTGGTTAGTGGTCCCGAGATGACAATTTATTGGGATGCTTTTTCGATTTTTAGTGGCTTGAACTTGAGACAGTTAAGTGTTACCGGAAATCCAATTGCTGACAAAAAGTTTAAGTTGTTTTTATGTAAGCTATTGCCAGCAATGAAGTGGCTTGATGATGAAAAATTGAGATGATTACTGGATCTCTGAGTTAGTCGGGTTTCATTTCTTCTGCAATTTTTAGAATTACATATATGAGAGGGCATGCTATTTCTGTTTCTAAAACATACCAAAGCATGTGATTTCTCCAGTCCCGAATTATTTGTAGTGCCCTGACACATGGGAATATCTTTCGTTTATTTTTTCACTCGAATTTGTGTCTTGAATAGAATGACTCGTACATTTGTTTTGGACCTTAGACTTGCAGCATTTAGAAATATTTTTGCTCTTGCTTTGGATGATGCTATGCTATTACTGTAAGTCATGGCAGACAATTCTGGGGACAGCCAACAAATTTCCAGCTACAGCATCTGTTATTATTCCCTAGTTTATATAAGCGGTGAAGTAAGTGTTCACATCATCATAGTGAGTAGGGAATTTGATGTTAACTTCCAAGCTGGTTTCTTCATTAATTTCTTTTTGGTGGGGATTATTTATGAACAGTGAAATCTGAAGAATAGAGTAACAATGTCGAGATTACTGCAGCTTCGTTGTTCATGTCCGTTTAAAGTGATTTCTTCCTTTGCAATAACCATGGCTGCAAACGCTCCACAGAGAATAATATCACGCAGAGAGTTTTCCAGTTACCAACATTATTGCTTCTCTTCAACTGCATTTTGTTCAAACATCAAAACCGTGCAAACCTTAGGCCTCATCCTTATTTCCTTTGCTTATTTCTCTTGCCTTTTCCTCTATCTTTCTTTCCCTGGTTGATGGCGGTTGGTTGATTTTGAGATGATCATCAGTTACAAAATCATCCAAAAAGCATGTAAAACTTCCTGGGAAAATCAATTTGGCCCTCTTTTGGAGTTAAGAGAAAAAGAGACAGAGAGAACCAATTGATGCTTCTTTGGTGTAAAATAAGTAGTCGTGTGGCCCTTGTGAGTTTTAAGAACCAGAGGCCGCAAGATAATGAAGCTGAACAAAGTAAAAGTAAGCGGACTTATTGGCAATGTTTACTAGTTAGACATATGGAACTACTACATGTTACTCCCTCCGTCCCAAAATTTGGGACGCTTTTTGGGAAACGCATTTTTTATGTACAGTGACATTACAGGACACGCTTATCTGACTCTTCCAAGCATATCCTTTGCTGTTTATGGAGTGAAACAACAAACTGTTGGGACCACTTGCCATTAAGTCACTTTGACTAAAAGGCAAAGACAATCAGAAGGATATAACTTCCGATAATGTGTTATGGCTGGGTCCATCAGAATTGGTTAGTGCAATCTTGACTTGTCAATATAAGGGTATAACTGGAAAATAATTGTAAAAGTGGTTTGACTTTTTCAAAGTGACTCAAATTTTGGGACAAGCAAAAAGTGGAAATACGACATTAACAATGGGACGGAGGGAGTATTTCTTTTCTTTTAAGTTTGCACGTGTATATATATATATATTGGGTTTTGGTGCTAATTGGAATAAAATAGGCAACCTGAATATGTACTACTGACCATTACGGTCCTGCTCAGTGCAAACCCCCGCCCCCTTCCTTTTTTGTTAAAGCCAAAAAATGACTTTTGATAACTTTACAAATCTTAACCTAGTAGGAAACCACAAAAGTACCACAAAAGCCGGTAACTTTTATGGTTCTTGCAGGAGACTTATAAACCTACGCCAAATCCCCCCCCCCTCTTCCCGGGCTGCCCCAAATGAAAAAAAAAAAATCCCTTCTGCCTTTATTCTCTGCAGCACGTGTGGTAAATTGCAATGTAATTTTTGGAAATTTTCTATTTACAATTTTTTTTATTGTGCCATCTAATCCAACTATCCGTCATATGACTTCTTCTTCTTTTTTTTTTTTTAACCGCCGTCATATGACTGAAACTGCAATTATTTTTTTTTAACAAGATTTGGGCTTAAATTAGGCTATACAGCCCTATGCCAACCTCGACTTAGGAACAAAGCTTTCCGGTTTTAAAAGAAGATGCCCTCCCTAGCTAGTTTGTGAGTTGAGGATAGAAAAGAAAAGAAGAGAAAGGGTAAGTTATGTGAGAAAAGAAAGGATAAAAAAAAAAATTTGTAAGCTTCCATCAGTTTTCCTTCGCTTTCCGCCCGTTTTGGTCAGAAAAATTTTGCACTGTAGCAGCGCTTGGCTTCTCTTCAAGATCCGTTCGTTTCTTTTCTTTTCCGTCTCACTTAAATCTCCCAAACGTGAAAAGTCCACCTTTCCCTTCCTTTCTTTTCTATTCCTTTGAAATCTGAACTCCCAAACTAGCTAAATTACCCTACTCTTCCCGCGCCCTCCTCTGGTTCCATCGGTTGGTCTCTCTCTCTCTCTCTCTTAGCCTTCCCGCAGGAAGTCTCCAATCTCTCAAAGTCCAATCGGCCACTGGCCGTTTCTCTTCCCTCCTATACTCTCCTCTTCTTTCTGCTACTCCTGGCGTACCACCAAAACACCAAGTTTTCAGCTGCGATATTGGGCTGATCTAGGTTGTGTTTGTTACCAAATTTAGCATCCGTTTCTTACTTAATTCAGGTAATTAACCATTAGCTGCACATTAACTTGGACAACTTCCAGATTAGCAGATTGTTATTGAATTTATTGGGCTGCTATCTCTCACTTATTTGCTGTCTAGTTGCATTTGTTGTTTTTTTTTTCTTCTTTTTTGAGTGGATTAAGCCTGTAACTTCATTTACCTGTTTGGGTTTTCTGTATATTTGTTACTATTCAAGAAAGTTGATTCCTTTACTTAATTTTCTAGAATCCCACTTGCATTTAGTAAATTTGAGTCACAATTTCCAAGCATTGCACGCTAATTTGATCAAAGATTGCATTTTGGTGAAGTTTTTTTTTTAAAAAATGGGACAAGTGTAATACGCATTTTGAACTCAAATTTTGCCCTTGTAATTGTTGTACAATGTGATTTTCAAAGTAAAGAAAGAAAAATAATCTTTTCCCTAAGAAGAAATTCGTCACTTAAGTGGCTGATAGATCCATTTTAATGCATTTTCCTCTTGTTTTCTTCTTCCGCCCCATTTCTTTCAGCTGTATACATGTCGGCACTTGCAGTCACAGAAAGACTGCAGATGGAGATGGTGCCAGATACCGAAGCATTTATGAAGTTTGCATTCCACCAAGCAAAGCTTGCTTTAGATAGCCTTGAAGTTCCTGTTGGCTGTGTCATTGTGGATGAAGGGAATAATAATGTTATTGCCTCTGGAAGAAATCGAACCACTGAGAGCCGAAATGCTACGAGGCATGCAGAGATGGAAGCCATTGATGTGCTTCTGGACCAGTGTCGAGAAACTGGGCTTTCAAAGGCTCAAGTTGCTGAGAAGTTTTCAAACTGCACTCTTTATGTCACATGCGAGCCGTGCATTATGTGTGCTGCAGCCTTATCAATGCTTGGTATAAAACAAGTGTATTATGGCTGTGCAAATGATAAATTTGGAGGCTGTGGATCCATATTGTCACTGCATTCTGGAGATCATTCGAGGAAGGGTTTCAAGTGCCAAGGAGGAATATTGGCACCAGAGGCAGTCTCTCTTCTACAGGCTTTCTATGAGCAGGGAAATCCCAATGCTCCTAGGCCTCATAGACCACCCAGTCAGTTGGTTTAGGACTCTGTAGATTCTTTGATTTAGGTCAATAAAAGTGACCGACCCTTTGTTGCTCCTACAATGATACCTCTGTAATCATTCATTACTAAGAGATTTGTTAGTGAAATAAGTATTGCATCAGTAAGCTTCGAAGTAAGGCCATATCTATCTTCCCCACAAATTTTTAATTGCCTTCTTCTAAATCTGTCTTTTGAAGTTTTGGTTCGACATTTGTAACTAAGTTGTTTCGCAGCTAAAAAACCTATGATCCAGATTCCGACATATAATGAGTCGTACAATTATAGTAGACTTTGTGACAGGTAAGGGAAGAAGCTCCAAACTGGGGCGATTGACTCTGCCAAGAACCAAAAAAATTGCGCCAAAAATGAACAAATATGTGTTATTGGTTCATTCTATTTCCCCCTTTTCGTTAAATGCACTAAGCCCTCCTTAAATTTATACCTAAATGATGTTTAGTATTCTTTAGGCACTTAACTTTATACCTAAATGTTCCCTCAAAAAAAAAAAAACTTTATACCTAAATGAGATATATACATACATATATATATATATATTTGATCAAATGTACCGTTGTTATGTTAATTACCTTTATCCCCTTTGTTTACTTTTAATTTCTTTTCTTTCTATCTCCCTTCTCTCATGCTACTTTTTGTATTATCTGCTAACAATTGTACATTTTAGTGTGGAGGTCAATACTTAATACTACATTATATTTGCAATGCCCTCTTCATTTTATTAATTAGAAATATTTTACTAATAAATAAGCCTCCTATGACCATTGATTGGCAGGCACCTCCGTTTGAATTAGCTAATTTTTCGGATATTTTTGAAAAATTCATTATAACAGTGTATATGAAAAATTTTTATTATAAATATTTTTTGAAATATTTGATATATTATATATATGAAATATTTTTTAAATTATTTTTATTTATGTATTACTGTAATATTATATTTAAAAAACTTGTCTGTAAAAAAAGGTCAATCCAAATGGAGTATTTGGAAAATATTTTCCCTTTCCTTTTCTCCATTTTCTGATTTCTTTCTTCTTTTCCCTTTTAAAAACTGTTTAAAGGACTCTACTAAAAGCTTCAGCAACCTCTAACTGCTCCCATCTGAACCCTGATTCCCCGACCTCTCCAGCCTCCTCGTCGCTGTCAATCCGACATTTCCTCCTGCAAGTCGCCGTGAATGACCTAAGGCCTCCACATCGCCTGCTCTTGGTTCTGTTTTGTCCTGGCTCAGGTTTGTTTCTTAATTTTTTGTTCATCAAAATTAAAGCTTTTTATGTAAATTGAAATAGTCAGGGCTTTGTTACTGTTTCTTGCCTGTTGATTTCTTTAGCACATGGAGTCAGGGATTAGCTTTCTTGCTTTTGTTATGAATTTGCCATGAAATCTTGCTGAAACTTTCCTTTGAACTTGCTGTGTGATATTTGCAGCTTATTTATGTATGTCCTGTGGAGCTATTTTTATATAATATTGCTGTTTTAATTCCAAACAGCGAAAAATCGATACTTTTATCTGATTTACATGAGAATATGAATGGGTTTCTTAAAAATCGACTTCAAAGTGGATTTCCAAGAAATGGACTTCTTCTCCTTTTTTCCCCCTCCCCTCTTTGCTTTTCTGCTCCTTCTTTTGCGATTCACCCGACTCCCTCATGTCACACAGGGCCTCGTTTTGGTACACCACAAATCCACCATAACTGATCCCAATAATTGAGTAATTATTGACACCATCTTTTCCGACAAATTTCCAACATATAAATTTTGGAAAAGCTGGGATCTTTCATTGGACAGGAGTGTATGCTAAATTCATGGGCAAAGCACTATATGCCCCCTTGAAGATTGTAGGCACCATATTCATACATCAGTTGGCCATGAATTGGGACTAAAGAGGTTTTATAGGTGGAAAGGTTTCAGTTTGGACGCCGAAGTTGTATTGTGACCTGATTGTGTTGTTTACTGTTCTTGGAGGTAGTATTTACTACTCAACATGCTTGATTAAGGAGAGTATATAGTCACATTATCAAAACTAGGGAAAATTGTGCTAAAAGCCTTCAATATTTAAAACTAACTTTCTTCTCAGTGCAGACCTTATTCTTGGAAAATAGTCTTCCTAAAGATTAATTTTTTTTTCTTTTTTTGGTTGGTCTTAAAGGCTCTTGTTTAGTCTTTGTGATTGCTTGCTTCAAAAAGGACTTTATCCCTTCTCTCTTTTTTTTTTTTTATTTGATGCATGCTTTTTATGCAAAGTTGAAGATTCCTGAGGTACCTTTTTGTGTTGCAACATGTTTTGTAGCTTGATGATTACTGTTAGTTTCTGCATTGAAGATACGGTTGTGTAAGTGAATCAAGACAATCAGTCAAATGGCCTTAACCAACTTCATACTCACGGTGGCGGGTGTCAGTGCTGTGATTCTGCTGCTTAGGAGTGATGTCAAGCAATCTGCCACCATCTTCAGACGCAATGTCCGACAGATACGCCATTGGCTTGAGGAAGAGTCTGCTTCTGCTGCAAAGTATGCCTTCCTTATTTATCCCTGATATTCGCTTGTACCCATTGGCCTTTTGTTTTAATACCCAACTCAACAAAAAATTTTACTTCTCTCATTTGAAATATCAATTTTTTTTAATCCATTTCTGACGCCAATGCTGTTGCTATTTAGCCTTTTTAGACCACATGCTTCCTAATTGAAAATCTGGATAACTAGTCATTCTTTTTCCCTTCTGTGGATTAGGTTTTGTCATAATATGAGGAAAATAGTTATTTGGTTTTACTCTTTTGACATTTCCACATTTTAACAGCTTAAACTTGGTTGTGGAAGAAGTTTAATTCAGAAGTGGAAGTGTTTGTTTCTTGAACTTAGACAACAAATATTTCATCCGAGTTGCATGTTCAATTATGCTCGAGTCAAAAGGCACGAAAAGTTCCAAAAAACTTTGCTGGAATGTCATTCTGGATGACTGATTTGTTGTGTAGACCAAGTCGAACCTAATTTGGTCGCTAGTGGTAGCTAAATTATGATGATTTATTCTTGTTGGGCAGATTTCTTTTGCGGGGGCTATATAGTTTTTGGGCGTTAAGTTTTGCTCGTAGTATAGTATTTGGGCATTAAGTTTTGCTTGTAGTTAAGCATTTCAGATTAGCATGTGACTGCCTGATGTTTCCATGGAAGGAATAAAAGTTTTTTGTCAGATGCTCGTGTCATTAGCATTTCTTTTAAACCGAGAAACTATTCTATTGTTCTTGCATTGCACTTGGAGACCTGAAGAACACAGTTAAAGCACATGCTTACTTATACATGTTAAAAAGAACAAAATGGTGATTGAAGGTTGGCCCAAATATTTTGGATGAGATAGGAACTCCATGTGAGCAGGGGAACACTTACTCGGCTGTGTCGCCCAAATAATTCTTACTTATTATGTATTTAGTGGGAAGAGCAACTGAATTTGAACTTACGGTGATATCTGATGCAGCTGCATATGTCCTTGTTTGGATACATTGATATCTTTGGTTTTCTTAAATTTACGTTTTTGAAGGAGCCTGTTATCTCATTTTAACATTAAGCAACCGTATAATGGCATGCTTGGTTCCATTTAGGGAGATGGAGAAGGCAAAGCCGAAGGAGATACCTGGAAAGGATACACCCAAGGAGGAAAAGCACTAATTTGGTCCTTGAAGCCTGGTTTATGTAGGAAACTGTACATTTTAGCAACCTTTCTTTGGCATCTGGTCCGTCTTGTATAAATCTGAGAGCGTGGAGAGAGTTTTTGGTCTTGATTAGATATTGTTTTTCTGAAGCACATACTTTGGTACTTCGGATTCAATAATGCTTGGCTTCTATGCTTTTTGTGAAATGTTTTGCTTGAAACCCTTTGGGGGGAAAAAGAAATAAAAAGTCTTAACAAGTTCAAAGGTGGAAGATTAAAACTGGAAAGTAAATCCTTTGCACGGGCAAATTTGCATCAATCATAGGAGTACTATACTGCACATCTTTGGTTTCTTCCCCTTTTTTATAGTCTTTGTTGAGACCTGGGAAAAGAGAGCAACACAACCAAATTTAAATGGATCTTGCAGCTTTATATATTGTGCGTATTTGTGTAATATCGATATTAGGAAGATAATTGTAGTGTGTCAAATTTTCCTATTGAAATGGAATTTACTTTGTGCTATTGAGCATGGTTCCGTAGATGGCATAGAATTAGTAGTGTTAGATTTTTTTTTTTTTTTTTACTCGCTAATGCTGATGGGATCTTGAGATTAACATAATGGATCACAAATCTAAGCGAAATTTGGCTTGAAGGACACATTTTACCCATGCTTTAGTCACACCATCATGAAAATAAAGTTCTTTCTAGCCTTAATAAAGAAGAAACTTTAAAATGATTATTGTCAAAAGAAGCTTTTAAATGTTCAAAACCGACAAAAAATCCATACAGAAGGGTAAAATATTTCTTCGGTGAATAATTTAGAGGAAAGAATTTTTTTTTCCTCACATTTGTTTTGTGCCTAATTTTTAAAACCTAAGGGGAGCTCTTTGCAGTTATTAAAAATCTTAGGGGAGGTTTGTGAAATTATCCCTTTTATCTTTGGAAAAGGTTTAAGAAGTTCTCTGAAACGGTCTTATTCAATGCTACTACTTTTGGTACATTATTATTCGGGATAATTGCAGAATCCTCCCTTGAGGTTTCTGACATTTGCACTGACCTCCCCTGTGATTTGAAAAATTACATTGACCTCCCCTGAGGTTACTAATCCTTTGCAAATTTAGTCCAAACGATTAAAATATTGTTTTAGGGAGTGAAATTAGAATTTTTTACCAAATTTGTCATTTGTACTACATGTCCAATGAATGACAAAATACTACAAATTAATTAATAATTAATAAACTTTAAGGAATATAGTTTATAGGCAAATACGCATTAGCTATTTAAAATACCGGCTTTTTATGGGTATTTTACTTTCAAACATTTAATTTAATACAAATATTTATGCTCAAATACAGATTTGTATTTACTTTCAAATATTTAATTTTTGTTAAATACAAAACCTACCAATCTCTTTTTCGTAAAAATATTAATATAACATTTTTTCAATTTTAGTTACAAACATGGATGTATTTAACATAAATTAAATGATTCAGAATAAAATGCCCATAAAGAGCGAATACTTTACTCGTGTAATAGATGAAAGCCATAAAGAATTAATACTTTATGGGCCATTTCTTTTTTTAAAAAAAAAATTTTATTTTATATTTAATAAATAACCTACCGATTTCCTTTTTGCAAGAATATTACTGTAACACTTTTTGAATTTTACTTATAAACATTGATATATTTATCATAAATTAAATGTTTGAAAGTAAAATATCTATAAAAAGCCGGTACTTTAAATGAATAATACGTGTTTGCCTATAAAGAGCCGGTAACTATTTAAAGTACCGGTTCTTTAAGGGTATTTTACTTTCAAACATTTAATTTAATACAAATATTTACGCTCAAATACAGATTTGTATTTACTTTCAAATATTTAATTTTTGTTAAATACAAAACCTACCAATCTCTCTTTCGTAAAAATATTAATATAACACTTTTTCAATTTTAGTTACAAACATGAATGTATTTAACATAAATTAAATGATTCAGAATAAAATGCACATAAAGAGCGAATACTTTACTCGTGTAATAGATGAAAGCCATAAAAAAATAATACTTTATGGGCCATTTTTTTTAAAAAATATATTTAATTTATATTAAATAAATAATCTATCGATTTCTTTTTTGCAAGAATATTATTATAACAATTTTTGAATTTTACTTACAAATATTGATATATTTATCATAAATTAAATATTTGAAAGTAAAATACCCGTAAAAAATCGGTACTTTAAATGAGTAATGTGTGTTTGCCCATAAATTATACTTTTTAAAGTTTATTAATTGTTAATTGATTTATAGTACTTTGTCGTTCATTGGATATGTAGCACAAAGGGCAAATCTGGTACAAAATTCTAATTTCACTCCCTAAAATAATATTTTAATCGTTTGGACTAAATTTGCAAAGGATTAGTAACCTCAGGGGAGGTTAGTGTAATTTTTCAAATCATGGGGGAGGTTAGTGCAAATGTCAGAAATCTCGGGGGAGGTTTCTGCAATTATCCCTTATTATTCAATAAGATAAGATCATAACTAGTGCCATCCACATCATAGAGTCGAGTGCTTTATATATATATATATATCTGGCTCTGTGTGTGTACATATATGTATACATGTGTCTATATATGTGTCTATATGTGTGACTGTGTGTCTGTATATATATACATATATGTGTGTGTGCATATACGTAACACTTACACATAATTATTTCTATAGTAAAACAATAACTAACATTTAAGATAAAAATCTGTAGAATATCTTTCTTATTGAACAAAAGCTCATTGGCCACCTCATGTAAATTGGAGTGGAGATTTTTTTTAACCCACCTCTTTATTTCACATACATCATATCACAAAAAATGCTACAGTAATTATTCCAAATAATATTTCAAATAATACTCTATCCAAACAAATACTAGAACAGGCATGCACAAAAACCACGTACGTAACTCGATCATCTTTGACTCGGAAAATTTGGTCTTGAACTCGTTGAAAGTTGAAACAAAACGTTCTTTCTCTATCGGATGAATCATCGAGTAACCATTCAACATAGCAGAGAGACTCTTGAAATCATTAATGAGCGAATTTATGAAACAACATGCAAAACTATAAATACTATCCCATCCATCCATTACTCGGTGCTATAAATAGTTTTCTCCATCAGGAGATTTGTTATATTAATGAAAAGTAATGAACAGCCTGTCAAAATTGAAAATTCAAGAATAGCCTTTCAAAATTGAAACGTAGAAAGAACCCTTTATCATGGCGCAAGGAATTGATACATGCAATTTATCATTATCTAGCACGACAAGGAGCTGGAGTTGGAGTCAATTTAGAAAAAGCTGTTCGTTGGTGACAGTAATTAAAGAACAGCCCGCCAGTAGCAGTAGTGTATTCTTGCTTCACGCAAAGCACAATTTGCACATGATGGGATGATATGAATACGATTTCCCACCAACACGTCACACTTTTTTTTTTTTTTTTGCGTCTCCACACAGCTAAGGTTGGTTTTCTCTCCAATCTTCATCACAATTTCCTCTTCAATAAGGTTGCAAACGAATCGAGCCGCTCGAGAGTGGTTCGAGTCAAACTCGAACTCAGAATATTAAGCTCGACTCATGAGTTTGAGTATATATATATATATATTTTTATTTTTATTTAATAATAAAATTACGTATATTATATTTTTATTTTTTATATTCATAGTAAAATTACGTATATATCCTTAATATTTTATTATTTATTAAAAAATATATTATTTTATTCATTTTTTAAAAAATAAAAATAATTATTTTTTATTTTTTTCGAGCTCGAGTTCAGCTCGACTTGATTCGAGTCGAGCTCGAGCTTGAAATTGCCGGCTCGTCGAGCTCGAACTTAATAAAATTCAATCGAGACTCGACTCGATTAGCTCAAAACTCGACTCGACTCGGCTCGTTTGCAGCTCTACTCTTCAACCATACCATAGGCTCTTGCAATTGGTTCCCGCAGAGTCTAATAGTTATCAGCAGGTTTTGTGATTGATCCTCATGTATTACCTCCCTCGCTGTGTATTATTAGGACAAAACTCTAGATGAGTTTAGGGAATTAGTTCAAGCGAAAATTTGGAATACCTTTAAGTTAAAAAAAAAAACATATTACAGGCAACTTTTATTTTCTGCCTTTTCTATTTTTTTCTTTCTAATAAAAAGATCAATTTATTGGTCAGTCAAAGAACGATCAAGAAGAGTAGAATTGTTAGTTGTTACATCAATCGTCCTTTTTATTATTTTACATCGCATGGTGGCTGTCCCTTTTAATTGTTTGTTTTGTATAGAATTATTATTATGTCTTACCTCCGATTGGTCTAATCTTTTTTGTTTCAATACAAATGTTTTTAAACCATATACATATACATCCACTTTATCTCTTGACCCGTATTATGTATCGCTTTTTTTTTCTACTATTATCCTTTTTCCAACTATGTACTCCTATGTTTCCTGCTTGTTCCTTTAAATTTTAAAATCTGACGTGGAAAATAGAAAAATGACATGGCACGAGTAGTCTGGAGAAACGCGTCCAAACGGCGCAAGTGAGTCGCGGGCGGGAACGTGCATGGATGCAGCCCAGTCATGCCGTGCCACGTCGGACTCTCCCCCCCCCCCCCCAGCCTATTTACAGTTAGTTACCCAAAGCCGCCACCATAAATATATAACCACAGAACCTGAATCCTAAGAAACAACGGAGACAGAGGAATCCTTGCCATTCTCTTCTTCTTCTTTCTCTCTGTCTCTGTTCAATTCATTCTCGGGTTATTTCTCTTGTCACGAATTTATTCTTGATCAAATATACACGCTTATCTATTTATATATACATATCAGCATGGCATCCATGCCTTTGCGGGCTAAATCTGTACATAATTTAGAAGATTTACGAAGCTGTTGCTTCGGCAATACTCAATCTTTGATGCCTAACAAGGGTTTTGTGAATTTTTATAGCCGGAGCAGGGATCATCAAAATCAGATTTGCCAAGCACCCCGGCTTAGTATTAGTTCTGCTGCTGCCTCTGCTTCGGTTGTAAATAATAATACTAACGATTGTAGTTGCAGCAGCAGTACTCATTTATCTGTATTTAATCCTCATTCAGCTTCAATTTATAACAATGCTTGTATTTCTTCCAAAAATAAGAAAAGGGTGTTTGATAAGGAGGAAGGTGATGTTTCTGGGAATCTTGATCGCTGGGTTAAAGAATCCGTTGCCGAGGTAAATTTTCCTCAATTTCTTTCTTTTTATTTTAAAACTTTTTTCCATTAATTTTTGGATCCTTGTTCTTTTTCTTGCTTTCTACTTATTGGTTTTTTTTTTTTATGTGTGTTGGAAATTTTCAACGTTTGCATTTTTGTTAGGCAGATGACAGTTACGTTATTACGCGTATATGCGGCGACCATGTCCTGTTGTACTCAGTCTACAAATAACTCTCTGCGATAATTGATGTTGGACTGGTTATTGTGACGAGTACTTAAATAAGTTTGCATATCCTAGTCACAAAATTACCATGTAGATATGGGAAATACTCTTTTCATTTCCATGTTTTGTAAGAGTGAAACTGGACTTAATTTTCTCTGGATCCTTTCGCTAAAACTGGGTTCATAATGGATGATGGTCTTGATCTTCAACCATCAGTCATATAATAGTCTTTAGCACATATTAGGGATTCCTTTTGTTTGCAGTATTCAACAGTTTTGCTGTTGAATTGCATCATCCATCATTCCTTGTCAACTTTCCAGGAAGTTGTATTTGTACTGAAAATAGTTAACCCAGTGAAAGCTTGCCTATTTGTACTAAAGATTTTGAAGATTTGTCTTGGTATTGTTTGTTCATGGCCCGGTTGTTATTTTGTTCAGATATTGAATAACCTTGATGAAGCACCTTTTCTTGTGCACATCTACTCTGATGGCGAAGAGGCATCTGTATCCACAAGCAACACCAGATTAGTGAAAGAGAAGGCAGATGCACAGAGCTGGCCCCGTATCAAAGGAAGATGGGGTGGAGGTCGCCCCTCTCCGAGTGGCATTATCTTGGTCGAAGAAATGAGCACTGAAGACGCTCTTAGCTCTGATGGTGAATGCCTTGGAAGTTCGGGAATGGATTATGATTCGGGTTCTTCTTCAACCAAAGTATGGGGTATACTGATTCAAGGCAAAGGTTCAACTTGCCCTGCTTGTTACATCCTGAAAACTTGCCGAGTGAGGTCTATTGCAGGGTTCTGCACTCACTTTTGTTTGGTTAGAGTGAAGTGCTTCTTTGAAAGTGTAGATATACAGCTCAAGAAATTGTGGCTGGTGTAAACATCTTATTCTTAATATTCTATTTATTGAATCAAATATACAGCTCAAGAAATTGTGGCTGGTGTAAACATCTTATTCTCAGTGTTCAATTTATTGAATCAAATCTAACAACCCTATCAGAGGCCATTCAAAAGAATGACTATTTATTACTGCAACTTCATTCTCAATGGTTCGTTCATCAGTCTATTGCCTTTAGACACAAATTTTCATATTCCTTGCCATTTCACTAGTCATGAACCAACTCCACCTGTATATATTGATCTGATCAGCCTTCTGCATCTTGAAAGTGGTATGGTAGGTTTGTCGTCTTTTGATCACCTATCAGAAATGAGAACAGGAGATAATAATGGTCCGCAACAAAACAAGCAGACATGCTTTCTTTCAATGAAGTCTATTATTGCTTTTAACAACTTATTCCACCTCTAAATTGCTGAGCTTACGTCAATCATTAACTATGAAAAGCATAAATACATCTTTCTAGAACAAGCACTTATTGGAATGCCAGTTTTCCAGCTAGACCTGGCCATGGCATTATTTCAGAAAGGATTAAAAAGAAAAAAAAAAAGAGGCCTGCATAGTGACAGGATGTTAAAATTTATTTACAGGCGGGTAACGGAGAGCCACACAAACAATCATTCCCAGAGAATGCGGATGCTGGAAACTTGGTCTTGGGGAGCTGACCGCACAAGTGATTATGGCTAACGTTCAGTTTTTGAAGCCCTGCAACTGCATTAGGCACCTTCCCACTTATTAAATTCCGCGATAAATCCAGGTCCTTCAAAGTCTTGGGAAGTTTCAAGGTCTCCAGTTTAAAGTTCAACTTGTTCCCCGAAGCGTAGAACCCCTTGAGATATTCCGTTCTGTTCAACAATTTGAACGGGCTCCCGGTAATTTGATTCTCAGAAAGATCGATGTAATCGTAGAAGTACGTTTGTGCGGGATTCCAGTCGTCCAATTTCAGATTGATCCCACATTTTGCCAGCTTCAGAGAATAGATAATTGGGGAAGAAGTCACCCAGGCTGGGATGTTGACCAGATGGAACTGGTTATAGGACAAGTCTAAGGATTCAATGCCTTTAACCTGCATTGCTGGAAATGGATCCACTAGGTAATTATGGGAGAGGTCAAGGTTAAATATCTTAGTAAGATTCGAGAAAGTTTTCGGGACGAGTCCTGAATATTGGTTCCAAGACAGGTCTAGTGTGTCCAGGGCCCGAAACTTTCCAAGGAAATCTGGGATTTGTCCTGAGAGAGAATTGTGGCCGAGCTCGAGGTACCTGAGATTTGGTGCCAGAGATGAAATGCTTGGTGGGATGTTTCCGGTTAGTTTATTGTTTGCCAGGTTTAGATTATAGAGGGTGGGGAACGATGCAAAAATATCCGGTATGGTGCCGGTGAGTTGGTTCCCATCCAGGGTCAAAGAAGTTAAGTTTTTGAGGTTCTGGATTCCCAGGGGTATGGTGCCCGTAAGAAGGTTGCCACCGAGTCTGAGCTGAGATAGCTGAGTGAGTTGGGAGATTGAAGTGGGAATGCGGCCTGAGAACCGGTTTCCTTGAAGACTGAATGCTTGGAGTTTGGCCAGACTGCCAATGTTTTCAGGTATCGGACCCGACAATCTATTGTTTTCAATGTAAATAAAGATGAGCCTGGGGAGGCTGAAGAGGAAATTTGGAAAAGGACCGGATAATTTTCGGAGATTTAAGAAGTAAACGCCATCCAAGAACTGAAGTTTCGAAAGAGATGGTGAGATAGTACCGGATAAAACCTGGGTGGAGTTCTGAGGCTGTCCGGAGAGGGCGAGGGCCGTGACCCGGGTGCCTTGTAGGCATGTTATGCCGTTCCAGGAGCAGCAGTCTGTTCCGGGCTTCCAAGACTGAAGCATGCCGGAAGGGTCAGCTGTGATGCCGGACTTGAATGCGAGTAAGCCGGCTTCATCGTCTGGGTGGCATTTTGCTGCTTCGGCTGTGAGGTAGCGGAGATTGAGAAGAGTGAATAGGAGGAGGAAAGCAAAATGGAGACGGGAGAAGAAGAGAGATTGCATTGTATGAAGATTGAAATGCCAGTTGCCAGCCCCAATCAATCGTACATGCACATATATAGACAGATACATATATATATCAGCAGTCAGTTCCAAGGTCAAGTATGGGATCTTAAAAATTTATAGTATTATGTACTTCCTATCTATCTATTTTAAGTAAGTTTACAAGTAGAAAAATTTTTTGTTTGTCAACTAGAAAACAAAACCAGATTGTTGTGATTTTGTGTATGGTCGGTCAAGGGAGGGAAAACTTTGTGGAGGAAAAGTGACCGGTGACTAATGATGAGTGGAGCTGCAACTTGGTAGGGCTGCTATTTTATTACCATTAAATGTTCGAACTTTAATGTGAAGGGCCAGTGGGCCACAAATACCAGCACATATCACCATGCCGGGAGACTTTAGGATCCTATGTAGCACTCACTCTGAAGATAGGATCAAGGAACCACCGAGCTTTTGGTTCCGTAATTATAAATTGGGAGTTTGAACTCCATTTGTAACGTGAAATAAATTCAAAGAAAGTGTCAGATCATTTCTTTGAGCTTTGGTTTAGTAGTTGTCAAAAAAGAATTTAGTGTGTTTTCAGATTATAAATCGAGAGTTCGAATTCCATTTCTCGTGAAATAAATTCAAAGAAAGTGTCAGATCAATTTTTTTGATTTAGTCAGGTTTTTATATATATTAGCCCCTTATACACGGTCTTTTTAGCCTCATATCTTTTATAGATTAGAATGGATTAGATTAAGAAACTTTATGAAAAAAAAAAAGATAAGATCAATGACTCTGTCCTATTGAATTGTTAATTGTACGTAAAAATATAACATTAATTTTTTATCTTTTAAAATTTGTGTCTAAAAATTGATGTGTTAGTGTCTAAATTATATACTACTATACAGCTATTTATCACAATCAATTGTGGAGACTCCGGGAGCTATAGTCCATTGACCATGACCCCCAATAAACACACAATTGCAAATTGCAAAGAGATGAGGAGAGTCGGATGCGCGCTTTTGGGAGCTCTAAGATGGCCTAGATTAAAACGGTGCATTTGACCGTCCGCAGTCAGCGGAGTGGTAGCAATTTGGGATCTCGACGCTGAATATTGATGACTAATGACGGTCAAGTACGTCGGCGGCCAGGTAAGGCTAATCAGACTAAAGACTTCAAAAACGTCATGCCGGCACCGGCAGGCACAGGCACATGCACCGCAGCCGTATCTTGCTGGATCCCACTAGCGTCTACTTCCTGTACAACAATCTCCAAATTGCAAAGCCAAATGAGAATTAATGACGAAAAGCAAGGTTCACATAACATCAATAATACCCATTCCAACCATATATATATTGACAATTCCAATTATGCAACCATATGCTTATTCCCCTTCTCCTCTCATCTAATTCCATCCTACTTCCCCTGTGTTTGCATAATCCCACAACAAATCTTGTATTACTGTGTCTGGATAATACATTATTTCAAATATTATTTCACTTGTATCGTAAATATATTTTTCAATCCACCTTTTAATAATATTCTTAACCATCTTTTTATCTCATTTGTATCACGTCACAAAAAAATACTACTATGGTAATTATTTTAAATAATACTCTGTTCAAAACACAATAATAAAAATGAAAAATGAATGTAGCATCAATTAAACGTGTGGTAGTACCCCACTAGCTAAGGATGTCTTAAAGACACAAGTACAATGCGGTGCACTGACTAAGAAGAAGGTGGCATTGGTAAGGAATGGCTTGCTCCCCGCCTTCCTTCTTAATTTAATTCTCCTTCCGCTGAATGATCCATTGAAATCCTACCGTTGAATCTTCTGAAGTTGAATTGTCTTCTACCAGGTCAAAGGCTTGAACAATTTTTACTCCTGTAAACGATCTTGTCACTAACATTTCAGCTTTTCTTAGGCTGCTCTATATTTTGTTATTACCATTAAATGCCTTGCTACAGTTTTCGTGTTTCGCATTCTGTGATCTATTCACTGGCATTTTTATGTTGCATGCAATAACTAATTACTCTGATTTTTATTAGAAATTTGTAGGGGAAAATAACAATAATATATATTAACACTCTATTAGGTTGACTAAGTCCCGTTTGATAATCTAATTCAACACTTAAATTTAATGAGATCAGATCTGAACATATTCAGATCGTTTGATAACAAAAAATTGAACATCTGAATTAATTAAGTAGCACTGAATTTCGTAGATAAAACTTATTCTCAAAATTAAGTGATAAACTATTCACTTATCACTGAATGTGATATGCACTCAAATGTATTAGATTTAATAATTAACAATTTAATATTTAATACATTTAAACTCCAGATTTTTTATTTCAAATTCCAGTTTTATCCGTCGCACCCCAGCCGCCCAACTCCAATAATTGATGAGTGTACTCGATGAAGAGGTAGTACAAAATTTTAAGCTATTATGCTGTAGCTGCATATGCCTCCATCAAGAATGTCCCATGTGAGGCACGTTGGCCTATACGAATGGTGCCAGATTTTTTCATTTTAATGTAATTTTTTCCTTTTTTCTTTTGGATTTTTCTTTCACGATATCTTGCTACCACCTCACAACCTTTTATGTTTGCATTTGCAGAGTTGTCAGGCGTGTTTCTTGAGTTTGAGAGTGTTCCCTTGTGTGAATTACTATATTATATATATATATATATATATATATATATATTTATCGCCAAGATTAATATATCTATAGATGATTTGATGGCTGTCGATTTCAGTAAATAATTGTTATCCAAAGCTATTATGCTCTTTTTGGCAAATATGTATGCAAGGAGACAGATCTTTTTTTTTTTTAAATTTTAGTAAAAGATCAAAGTGTTGATACAAAGACTTTCGGGGCAAATGTGAAGCTCTGACCAGAATATAGGGAGGTTTAGAACAACTTTGTTTGTTCTTAGGGTAAAATTAAAAGTTTTACAAAACTTAAGGGCTCAATAAAGGATTTTATTTCTTTGGAGGGCTATTTGGCCATTAAACCAACAACTATATAATTGCGGTTTAAATTTGGAGCAACATTATTGGTCTCTTCTTCTCCCTCCCTGGTTCTTCCTCCTGTAACTTTGTAACTTAGGGTACCACAATTTCTCCAAATCTACTGCATTCCACCGTTAATTTGTCTAAAAGATTGGATCTTTCGAGTTTATCAATATCATGTATGGGTTTGTCGATTGGAGCTCGTAGCAGCAGTAGGGATCATATTTCTAGTGCTCCATTTTCACTTGTGGGCTGCTGGTCAGTCACTCACCAATGGTGCTAGGACCGTTCAGAGAAAATTGTTGAACAAGAGAAAAAGAACCGCAGAGAACGGAAGATAAATAGGGGGAAAGAAAAAGCGAAAATGGGATAAGAAAAAGTGCATTCAACAAAAACTAAAGGGCAATTTGGATTACGAAATATAGCGCGCCAAAGTATTTATGAAATGACAAGCATTTAAAGGTTTGGTGTCGGCAAAAGGGACTACTACTCCGACCCGCATACTGGGGTTAGCCA